CTAACCTTATACAAAACTCATCAGTTTTCCAATTTTCTAGTTTCATAGTAATTGCTCATTTTAGTTTTCAGATTTCAGTTTTAACACATATCCCAACACATTTAGGTTATTTTCAACATTTAAGTACCCAAATTAGTTTATGTAATTGTTTCTCTTATTTCCTTTCATGCAATAAACATCGAGTTTATTTTAATTTGTATTTCATTCATTCATTTTGGATCTATTAAATTATATTTATGGTAGTGATAAAGTCCTTAAGATTGTTCAAGATAAATTAACAACCTAATTCTACAAGAAAGCATCCCTCTTTCTTATAAATCGTTTGAAAAACGCAAAACTCAACTATTTTAATAGAGGTCGAACACATGAAAGGAGAGGGTCATTGGGAAAATCATTTTTTCTTGCTTTTCAGAAAAGTAAGTGACATGCTGAGATTCAGATTTCACACATACGACACCACTTGAGGTTTTTTGAGGAAACAATTATGTTTTTTTTAATCCCTTCCAAATTTTTTATTTTAATTGTTAAAACTTAAATACCTAAACTTAACAATTAAAAACTAGAAAAATTAATTAAACAAGACAACTTATTAAGTACTGTAAACAAATTTGCGTGGAAAAGGTTGTTAAAGCTAAAGCTGCCCAAAAGCTCGGGTTCATGTTATGTGTAATTGATTGTTTTGTTTTAAAATGGGGGACTTCACTACTTCAAATGAAAAAGGGGGAAAAAATGAGTTTTCCTTTTTGCCCGTGTGAAGAGAGTGGCTAAGTGGGCTTGAAAAGATATTTCTCTCTTGTAATATACTTTTTACTTCTTATATTAAATTTTCATTATTTATTGATTTGAATAAAAAAAATTTGATTTATTTTAAATAAAAATTTAAATTTAAATTTTACGAATAAAAATTATATATTGTAAGAATTTTTTTTCTTATAAAACTTGACATAATTTAATTTTAAATTAATTAAAATTTAATATAACTTTTAATTAACAGAGCTAGTTAAAAAAATTCATATATTAAATAAAAAAGAAAAAAACTAAATTCCAATAAGATTTTATAAACTAATTTTTATTTATACTTCAGTATAGGTTTTCCATATTGAAAAAAAGGCTTCGAATTAGAACAGGCCCCGAAATGGTAAAACACGTTTTGTAAAATTAACCCAATAGGTTAAGGTTTGGGCTGTAGGTTAAATGGGTTCGTATATAGTTTACTTTTTCTAAGTGTCGGTTTAGTTGCAATAAAAAAAGAAATGAAAGATTATTTCAATCAATAGAATTATTTTATTTTTAAAGAGCGGCTCTAACAAATTCCAGTTTAAATTCAACCGTTTAGAGATCAAAATATCACAAATTTTTTATTTATTTTTAAAAAAGAAATAGAAATTACTTTTTATTTTTTAAGTATATAAAGTGATAAATTACACTTGCGACTTTAGCCGCGATGGAAGTGCACCTTCTCTTTTAATTTCTTTGTCAATGGTTCAAGCTGCCAATGCAACATTATTGTAATTATTCCTTCATCCCCAATTTTTCAATGGTCAAAAATATATATATATATATATATATAAAGTGATAAATTATATAATAAAAAATAATTTTTCTCTTCTCTTAATCTCTTTATACTCATATTAAAATTTAAATTTAAAATCTTTAATTACTTAAAATGTTTTCTTAAAATAAAAATTAATTTTTTATGATAAAGGTTTGGTTTAACAGTTAAAATTACTATATTATATTGTCACGAAAAATATTTTAATATTTAATAATTATATTTTAAAAAAACTATTTATAAAATTACTCAATTAAATATATTCTTATTTAAAATTAAATTAATTAATAATTTAATATATAATGTACAAAAAAATTTAAAAATTTTGTTAAATTATTTAAAAATTCTATTAATTTTGGTTTAAATGATTTAAGACAAAATGTAGAAATCACCCAGGCATTAACTGGGTCACATAGGTAGTAGAATCCCAAGTCATTCATAAACCCAGTAACCATTCCAATCCAAAAAGAACAAATAGGAAGCATAACCTGGGTAAAAGCAAGAAACAAACAAAGCATAAAATCCTACAATGCTGGAATTATGGCGGCATCCCACGAGATCTGGCTTTTTTTTTGGGCGTCACAGTTTTCACAATTCAATGAATTCATGCGTGTTACCTCTGGAAAAAGCAACGTCGTTCCCAACTCCATTTTTTTCCCCCAACAGTGAAGTCATTTAACTTTTAAAGTTAATACATTTAAGGCTACTTTTTTAACGAGGTACATATGTAAGGAGAATTAAATTTTGGAGGTGTTTGTTTTGATCTTTTAGAAATAGTTATCAATTGTTGACTTTAATTAAATTAATTAAATATTTTAAATTATAAATATTATTAATTATCAATCATCAATATCAACTATTGGTTGTTTTAAAAAAAACTAATTCAAACAGTTTATTTATACCATTGGTTGGAAGAAATGCATATCATAACCAATTGGATTAAGGGAGAGTTTGATATAAAAGTTTGAAGATAGCTTTTAGTTAGTGGTTTGGTCTAATCGAATGGATAAGGATGATTGAATAATGAATGTTAATTGTTCTATTGTTAGATATCAATTATATTATAGTTATCATTTATTATTTTTTTAGTTAATTCAAACACTTTTTTTTTTATTTTAAATTGTATAATAAAAAGTAACTCTTATTTGTAATAAATTACCATACTCTTTAAAATTTTAAGTGTTATTAATATAAGAAAATATGTGTATTGATATAAATTACTAAAATAAGTAAATTAGATCGGACATAATTCAAATTGAGCATGTATGTAAAGACAAGTAATAAATTAGGTGATGTGATATCCTCTTTTTGTAAATTTTAGTGGAAATACAAGAAACACATGCCTTGATGAAAAAGTGATTAAATTAATCCATATAGTTATTTGATTTGTTTCTCTTGGTTTTCCTATCATATATAACCCAATTACCTAAATTGTGCCAATCTTCTGTGTCTCAACCAATGGAAAACAGTCAAAGTGATCCGCAATAAGTATGGTATCCAATTTTAATAAGTAGAGCCAACACAGTCTGTCACTATTCTCGTGAATCATTGGGAAATCTCTTTATGGAATTCAATCAATTCAAGCTCAGATCTCCTCATCCCACATTTCTCATGTCAAACAGCTTTACCAACTTTAGAAATAAATTCTTCGTTTACTTTTATGGCAATACACAACCATACGTTGAATTCAACCTTCACATCAAATGATTTGTTTATAAATTTTAAAACACTTAAGTTAGTTAATCAAGATTTTGAATCTTATCAATGTTTTAAAAAAAAATTTTTCTCTAATCTCTCAAATTTTAAACTGTTTAAATATATATATATATATAAATACAACCATATCTCACCGCATGAGAAATGGTATTCAAAAAGCACTATTAAATTTGTGGGTTGTTTGGTTGGAACGAAAATTAGGTTTCTTTTGACCCAAATGAAATTTTGTTCCCCACTTTTGTCTCTTTGACGAAACTTTTCTAGTATTTGGCCCTTGGATTATTTTGGTGCAGAACCTTAACAGCATTCACACTTTGGTTGTTGGATTTGTAATATTGTGAGATGTACTGAATTGAATTATTCATTGAAACTACTATGGAATTAATGGTAGATTATTTTATACATTCTTTTGGTATTGAAAATTTTGGTCGAAGGTGCGCATTTTGGCTTTTAATTCTCTCTTGAAAGATAGTGACAATGCCCATGACCTCGCATTGTATCCCTATCAATGGAAAAAGAACACCCTAAATTAATGGTTAGCAACTTGATATTTCAAATTGAAGATTTCAAATTCAAACATTAAATTGGACGAAAAGGGATTTAAAAAAAAAAAAAGATTATCCTAAAAATTTATAATATAGTTTTATCATTGCTGTAAAATAATTGTAAATTTATAATTAATTATTATATTTTACTAAATATATAAATATACAAAATATTATAGATATGTCTTTAAATAGAAAGAAACAATTATATCATGTTATATTGTAATTATAAATTTATA